GTGGGTTCTGGTAAATTATTCAAGTTCGAGATGCTGTTTGAAAACCTTTCTCTTAAAACTACTTCACCTTAATGTCTTTTCTGGCGTGCTTCTAAAAATTCTACTTTTTGCCTTTCTGACGTTTTTTTTCCCCTATAATTATCACTTAACACATTTTACTGGTTCATGTTTTAAAATACAATTTCCTTTTGCCACAACGCATGATTTCAAAATAATAACAGAAAAAGTCAAAAGAACCTCTTACCAAATTTCATGTTGTTTACTCTCACAATATTTTATGGTTTTCAAAGTATTAAAAGTATTTTCTTGATCCTCACAATTCTATGAAGCAAAGAATATAGGGACATTATACTCGGTGAAAGTCAACTACTTATAGGGACATTATACTCGGTGAAAGTCAACTACTTAAGATAACACCCGCAGAAGTGGCAGAATTAGAGATTCGGCCCACTTTCCCACTCTTCTGACTCCAACTCCAGTGCTTTTTCCACCATAATACATGTGTTGAATCCAGAAAAGTGGCTGTTTTGGAAAAATGATTCTTGCTCTTAAAAATTACATAATAAAAGCATTTCTGATTCCTTTTAGTACCAAAAAGCACATTTAAAGACACTGGTCTACAGAAAATCAATTATGTAGATTACATGACAGTGAATTAATTCACCCACCCCATCGTATGTACTGAAGTTTTAGAATTTAGAGGTTTTGAAATCAGAATTCAATAAAGCATTCTTTTTCAATTAATAGTTTAAAGTTCATTATGTAATACTAACAGAAAGCTCTTCAATTCTGATGGGATGAGAAAGTCATTTTATCTTCCTTAAAATGGAAACCCCCTTTTACCATGAGCTGTGCTTATCAAGGTTGTTTGTTGTTGTTAGGTGCCCTCTAGTCAGTTCCAACTCATAGTGACTCTGGTGGCATAGTGGTTAAGTGCTTGACTGCTAACCAAAAGATTGGTGGTTCAAACCCACCAGCTGCTCTGTGGGAAAAAGATGTGGCAGTCTGCTTCCGTAAAGATTATAGCCTTGGAAACCCTATGGGGGCATTTCTACTTTGTCTTACAGGGTCCTATAGGGTCACTATGAGTCAGAATCGACTCAATGGCAGTAGGAGCTTGTTGGGAGTCCTTCTAATCCCTAATTTTTGTAAAAATGTTTTTCTTCTGGAACACGAGAACCATGATGTTTCCAGCTTAGACGTAATCTCCCTCCTACAATATTTGTAACACAATATCACAGCATTTCTGAAATTTCAACCCAGGATTCATTTTACATTTCAGTTATACTATCTAAAAAGTTTTGCTTTTCTCTATAAAAAATTAAAACCTTAAAAAATCTTGAAATATTGAAAACAATAAAAATAAAAGTTAACTGGAAAGCTAGCTCCTAATTTTAAGAGCTGGTTAAGTGTATACTAATCAAAGGTACGCAGAATAAAACTGAAAAAAAAAAAAAAAAAAAAAAGTTCCTGAAATATTATTCAACATATAGAAGCTCCAAAGTTAACTGACAAATCTCTTAACCAATACTGAAGTTATCTAAATGATTTTATGATTTTGTTTAAATTAAATATACTGATTGTCAAGGTAAATACGTTATGCTAGATAAGTTGGAGGAAATGCTTGGCTATCAAGTTTAATATTGTTTATAGGGTCTAATGGGGAATGCAAACAAAACTTGGAAAAAACAGAATTGATTGTTTTTAGAAAGCACGTCATCCACTCATCAAACTCCAAGTCCACCATTAAAAAAGACACTGACATGAAGATTACATTAGTAAATTCATATTAATAAAATGATTCATTTTATTTTGCAGACTGTAATATTTAGTTCATAACCCTAGGAAAGGGCCTTGAACAAAGTAGCTAGTAAAAAAAAAAAATATGTATACCTATATCTCTGTCTATATACCTCTACTACCTACCTACCTAACCTACCTACCTACCTATCTCAATCCCTGCTCTTAAACTTCCTATCATGAAAGCTAGTGAGCCCATACAGACTACCTCTGGGTAAATAGTTTTTACTTCTACTGTACAAAGCCAAACATCTGTATTTCAAATAGGTTTTCAGTAAGATTTTATTTTTTAACAGATCATCTGCATTATTTCTTTTTGTAGTTCTGCATTTCATATTCTGATAGTTCATTTGCAGACTCAAGAACACTTAACTATCACTCGAATACTGAATAGATTCATAGAATCTTTAAGACAGAAACTCATCAAACACCAGTACCTTCAATTACCTGTAGGGATGAGAGAAACGGAGGCCTGAAGAAACTGCTGAACATTCTAGTCATCGAAGGAGGGGAACCAGGTCTAGAAACTAGTTCACCTGGTTCCTAGTGCAGCTTTTCCACAAAGACTGCCTTCTTAACGAATAAAATGGATTAATTTGGCCATTTTGCAATGGATTACTTTTTTTTTTGTGGTTAATCTTTAAACTTTTTTTTTTTTATTGTGCTTTACATGAAAGTTTACAGAACAAATTAGTTTCTCATTAAACAATTAATATACACATTTCTGGTGATACTGGTTGCCAACTTCATGATGTGTTAACACTGTCCCCTTCTCGACCTTGGGTTCCCCATTTCCATTCATCCAGTTTTCCTGTCCCCTCCTGCCTTCTTGTCCTTGCTCCTGAGCTGGTGTGCCCATTTAGTCTCATATACATGGTTAAACTATGTGTGTTATTGTTTGTTTTATATGCCTGTCTAATCTTCGGCTGAAGGGTGAACCTCAGGAATGACTTCAGAATTGAGATAAAAGGGTGCCCGGGGGCCATACTCTTGGGGTTCTGCCAGTTTCTGTCAGACCAGTAAGTCTGCTCTTTTTTTGGTGGGGGAGGGAGGGGGGATTTGAATTTCAATCTACATTTTTCTCCAGTTCTGTCCAGGACCCTCTACTGTGATCCCTGTCAGAGCAGTCTGTGGTAGTAGCCTACATACCCTGTTTTTATAATTCTTCTATACAGTGATATCTCAATAAACCTTCTAGGAAGGGTATGCTTTAAAATGAGGCCAGACATATTAACAATGGAAACAAAATCAAGTGAAGCACTATTACTGTGTATCATATGGCTTAATGGTGATGCTTTGGAGATACTGTACATATGAATGGACCAAAACTCGCTGCCGCTGAATCGATTCCAACTCACAGCGACCCTACAGGACAGAGTAGTACTGCCCCATAGGATTTCCAAGGCTGTAAATTTTTACGAACGCAGATTGTCACATCTTACTCACGCAGAGAGGCTGATGGGTTCAAACCACAGACCCTTCAGTTAGCAGCCGAGCAATTTAACCACTGTGCCACGAAGGCTCAATATAAATACCCCACTCTGGCCTATCCGGCCATGAAAAGCTGAAAAGTAAATTAAGCCAATCCTAGTCACAATGTCAAGTTTGCAAGGCTTGTCTTTATCATATCCTGTTTTCCCTTTATTCTTTATCTGTATTCCTTATCTGTCTCGGTGGTAATCCCTCTTCTCATTTCAAAGACCTTCTTATTTAGCTTCTTTGATCTTTTCCTTTACAGAAAATGAAAGAATTTTATATCTATTAGCTACACCTTGTTGGCTAACACACTTAAGACATTACTTGACTGAATTTTAATCAATATATTAATTCAACCAGACATTTACATTTTAAACCTTTAATCCGGGTATGTAGAATGAAAAGTTTGTTCTTAGGAGTTTCAGACCTCAGCAGAAAGAGATGGCAGAGGTGGAGTGGAGGAAGGAGGTTCCCTTTCTCCTAGTCATTACACGGATAAGGTCTGAAGGCAAACCAAATATCCATTTAGAGAGTCTAAAGACGGTAGTCCATGGTATGCCCTCCAGAATAAACAGCAAAGACCAACAATATTGCTCCAACTTCTGGCAGATATACAGAACACCAAAAATTTTAAATATAAGGCATTTAAATTTTTTACACATAATTAACAGTCTACGTATGTTACATGCATAACACCTTATGGTTTACAAAGTGTTTTCATGTATGCTATCTCATTTGAGCTTCAACAATATATAATGTAGACATGATTCCTAGTTTTCAGATTCTAAGGTTTGCAAGTAATAAAGATGATAAAAGGCACATTCAGAACTGAACGTAAGAGTTCTGAATCCAAGTTATGTATCTTTTCCATATGTAATATGTAATCAATACAACGATACTTAAATAACCTGCATGTGTCTACTCCAAGTATTTTTGTAGAAAAGTGATATTGGCCTCAAATTTCTAATTATGTTGATCTTTTCAAGCTCAAGTTCCTACTTTTTCTTATAACCTTTTTGTCAAATTGCTTTGTTATTATCAACTGTCTCATCCTTCTAAAACAACAGAAAAATACTGTCAAAAACACATAGCTAATGAGCAGAAAAGTGATCTTTCAATATCAAAAATAAACATTTCTCACCTAGATGCTTTTTCTTTGATATCCTTTGAAAACCTTATTCGAATTAATTTAAAACATTAGCCTAAAAATTTGCAATTGTATAGCTCGTTAAAACAAGCTCAGTGATTCAAGTAGATTTTTCTAAGCAGCTTTTTTGCACATTTTATTAATTTGTCAACTTTGAAGAGGTAAAATGTTGCCGCAGGTTGCATGCTCTTTCTGCCAAAACGTACTTTACCAAGGCTTTCTTTGAAATCCATTATAAAATGGGATCATCCATAAACTATGATTCCTTTATCCAACTGGGAAACTAAATCAGATTTAATATTATACATATTTAAGAGACCTTTTAAGTTATTAAATGTTCAATAGAATATAAGGTGAGAGTATCTACTGTTAAAGTTACCAAATTCAAATTCTGAAATAACAATTTTTGTTATTTTAAAGAAAAAAAAAAGATGCAAGAATGTAATTCATCAAGTGTGAAAACTGCCCATTTCAATGCTACAAGTTTTATTTCTGAAGTGAAAATAAATGATATTCATTTTAAAAATAGCATCTGAACATTTAAAAGAATAATCAAAATTTTAAGAAAAAGGCTCACCAGTCTGAGTGAAACCAAACTGACGTAGAATCTCATGAGCGGACAGCATGTTTGACTGTTTGAACTTAGGCCGTTGTGAAGAGGTTGATGTTGAAGTAAATGAGAGATTTTTGTTGACCTGTAATAGGAAAGGCAAATCAGAAACTAAAGTGTAATTTCCTGGGTTACTGAATGCAAAAACTGCCTGAGAAATATTTGCTTACAGGGCACATGGTAGGTCAAAAGGGGTGGTAATGAAATACTGTTAGTTTTTGAAGTACAAAACAGAATAGTTTTTAATCATGGAAGGAACACAGTGGCGATAAAAGCATAACCATATGAAAATAAATCTTTTACTGTAAAAGTCTGCTTATCACGGAGTTGACATTCTTAATAACTTAAGAGTGGTCACTTTAAAGTTACACAAGAAATGCAAAAAATGAAAGGGACCCACTGACTGCTTTCGATTAAGAAAGAGTTAAAATGTTTCATGTCTACAATTCTCTAACACTGTAGTGAAATACAGGTACTTCCTTTCTAGAGATTGCACAGAAAACACCTGTAATATTCATGTTTATATACATCATGATGACATAGATAACACAGCTGTAACCTAGCTTTCCATGTGAATTCTGTGAGTAGTTTCCACTACATCAAAAAATCTTACTCTTAACACACAGTTTAAAAACAACATTAAAACAATGATCGAACAAAATTTATGTAATTATATACAATGTTTTACAACACATAAAAGCTATGGTGTCTGAGAACAATGGACTCACAGAGATGAATGCAACATTATAACTTCAGCTACTGTAGGAAAATAAAGAATAGTTCACACAAAGTTTTAAATGTTTATCAGTAAATTCATCTTGTAACTAACAATTTCAGCAATGATCTAGTTGCTTGTCCATCATTAAATCATTCATTATATCTTTATTATTTTTAAAAATCACTTTCAAGAACCACAATAAAATGTGCTAATTTTGAAAAAACTGCAAGTTTGATTTTCTAATTTACAAAAATGTAATCTGAATTAACAAAATGTTAACTGATAGTTTATTATATGTAAATATTAATATATGAAAATGGTTCCTTTCCTATTTTCTTTTTAAATAATCAAAATCACACGGAGGACTACCTCTGTATTTATACTTAAAAATTCCCCTTTGATCTTCTGTATGAGATAGTGGTAGGTTGTGGTTACTTGCCCTGTATCTGACATTATTTACATAATGCTTGTAAATGCTTCTTTCAAACAGTGACAGCAAATGGTATATCTTGTTTTTGTCTTAGAACAAAGCACTTTTGCATATTTTGGGATAAAGCCAAATAATTAAGACCATATAACAATATAGTTCTAAAGTACATAAACTCAGTTATGATGTCATCTCACAAAAAATAAAATCTTTTTCCACATAGTTAAAACCAAAAACCAAACCCACTGCCCACCTCGTCGAGTTGATTCCCACTGGTAGCAACCCTACAGGATGGAGTATAACTATCCCAGAGGATTTCCAAGGCTGTATATAATCTTTACAGAAGCAGATAGCCACATCTTTCTCCCATGGAGTGGCTGGTGGGTTCGAACCGCCAATCTTTTGGTTAGCAGCAGAGCGCTTTAATCACTGCACCACCTGGGCTCCTTCTTCAACGTAATTAAACATAAAAAAAAAAAAATACCCATTGCCACTGAGTTGACTCCAACTCATAGAGACCCTACGGGGCAGATAAGAACTGCCCCATAGGGTTTCAAGGAGCAGCTGGTGCATTCAAACTCTTAACCACTGCACCACCAGGGCTTCTCAAAGTAGTTAGGTGGGGTCAAATACCACAATCGCATTAAAAATTATCTAGCGTCAAGAATTCCATTAACATCAAAAACCAAACCCATTGCTGTGGAGTCGAATCCAACTCATGTGACCCTATGAGTCTACTAGGAGCCCAAATACTGCCCAAAATTGATTTTGATTATTTATATTAATATATAAAACAAGAATGAAGTAACTTTACATCTTTGAGCTTTAGTTCCCACCTTTGGTTGCTTCACTGGGAATGTGCCAGAAGACAAATGAAGATGAACTGGTTTTATAAAGCGCTATTCATGTATGTTAACCATAAAGCACTCAACAACATAAGAAATAAGAATTAGATTTAACAGGTTATACAGTCAAAGGTTTCTATATAAATAATGTACTACATAAATATTAGTTATTATTATACTTCACTAGAAGAGTAATTAGGAATATTTAATGTAGTATTAAAAAAAAAAAAAGAAAAAAAAAAACAAACCCGTTGCTGTCAAGTCGACTGCAACATAGCAACCCGACAGAGCAGAACTGCCCTATAGGATTTTCAAGAAGCGGCTGGTGGATTCGAACTGACGACCTTTTGGTTAGCAGCCGATCTCTTAACCACTGGGCCACCAGGGCTGCAATGCAGTATTATGATGCAGTAAATTTTTCAGAGTGTTATGCTTTTAAATGGAAGTACTATATATAAAATGACATATTTATCACTTAACTATTTTATCCACTTCTCTTTTTAGAATCATTTTTCAGTTTTACTTCTGTGTTCTTAAAAATTTTTATCCTACATGTCATACAATGCATTTTGAAATCAGGAGCAATATAACAGGTGTATGCAGGGGACGCACACACACTCACACACACACACAGAGTTTGCCTTTTCAGTCTTCCTCTTCAGAAATTTACTTGTGAAAAAGCGAAAGACTAATGCTTTTTAAATAAAAGTTGTTTTTTTTTTTTTAATTATTATCTAAAATTACATGCTCTTCCTCAGTATTTTTATACTTCTACTGTTTCTTGACACACTTCTTTGGAGACTATTCCAATATTCATAAAGTGACCAGTGGAAACATAACAGGAGATAAATCCATTTTAAAGTTTTGGGATAATTGTTAATTATTATCATAATTTTAAATTAGAACTCAAAGTATTTCTAAAACTTACACATATTCACCACTTCAGTTAGAGGAAGAAAAATAATAATAACCATTAAATAGAGTGAAGCAATATCTATTTTTGAAATATATGCTGTGGAAAAGAATTGCTTAATAATTTTACAACAACAGAAAGGTTGGCTAAGATAGTCTACCCTACGCCAATCTACCCTCTTTTCACAACACACATTTCTGCTTGCTTCATGCAAAAACCACAGTCTGCCAAAGTCAGTTTAATACCTCCATATTGGAGGACATGACAAGCATAAAAATTTAATAAAATTTATAACAGGGAAAAAGAAGAAAAAAATCACCTAGAATTTCTGGCAAGGTAGCCATAAAACTGTTTTGCCTACCCTTTTAGGGCATACCAGTTTTATGCAAAATATGCAAACACTGACTCTCCAGGAGGGGGTTAATTTTCATATTAAAAAGTCATTGCCCCAGCATGAAACTGAATGTACAGACTAGACAAGTTAACCAGTTTCCCTTTTAGTGATTAGTTTCATTTTAAAACCTCTGAGAGACAGATAACCCTTATTTCCATATATACTTACAAATCTAATCATTTTAGCTTGATTATAGATTATATGCTGCATTCACTTCAAGTAGAATAGTTTTTGAGGTTTTAAACTGTGAGGCCAATTCAAACTGGTTTTAAATTTTAAGTGAAAAAAAAATGGTGACGCTGTTTATAAACGTGTTCACTTTTTCACCACCTTCTGATAGCGGTCTATTTTTTCCATTAATTCTGAACAATAATGCAGACAGTACTTTAATTTGAAGACAGTTCTGGCTGCAAAAATAACAATACCCAGGAAATACTGTGTTGCAAATCATATGTCTGTTGTGAAAATTAAAATTCCAATGGTAAAGAACAAAAACAGAAAACCTGAGCCAAAGTGAGAACCAAGGTATCCGAAGTTAGGTGCTTTAACATTCTCATAATTCAATTCTAAAAGTAGCTTATATTTATGTGATTTCTTAGTTAGTAAAATCTAAGAAATAAGGTGCCATTGGCATTGTAGAGAGAAATTTAAACAACAGCTCTAGGTTCACGGATGTTTTCTTTACAAGCTGGGCAGTAAAGTGAGAGATCAGGAAGAAACACTTCTAAGGTGCCAGAAAATCCCCACTCCTCATCCCAAATCACTTCATCACTACTGCCTTAACTAAAACCAGAGTTAAAATTCAGATCAGTCATCCAGCTTTATTTTGTAATATTTAGTCAGTATTAGCTGAGTCTCTCATTTTTTTGATTCATTTTTGATTCCTCAAAATAAGATCTAGACCTACTTCAAATCACTTACCTAGCCACATACTTTAGGGAAAGAATTTACTTGAATGTATCTTGGTTTTCCCCAAACCTTTACCTACTTTTTTTCTTAGCACATTTCCTTCCTTCACACAGAAAAATTGGCCTTAGCCCCTATGAATTCCCTCTTTCATCTAACTTCATTTCCTTTCTTCTAGTGTCAGAAAAGAGGTGCCTCTATTCAAGAATAATCCCTTTATTCGTTCCCTTGGGGACATTCTTAAGGCTCTTCCAAACTATACTTTCAAATTCTCTACTTGTTATTTCCTCACAGGCTATAAGCATAAACCAAACCTGTTTCCACTGAGTTGATTCCAACCCATGGCGAAGCCATGTGTTTCAGTGTAGAACTGTGCTCCATAGGGTTTTCAGGGTTTGCCAGGCCTTTCTTTCAACTGTACCACTGAGTGGATTTGAACCACCAATCTTTTGGTTAGTAGCCAACAGGAAACTGTCTGCACCACCCAGGGACCTTTGGCTATAAGCATTACCTGTTGCCGTCAAGCTGATTCCAACTCACAGTGACCCTACAAAGCCTTCAAATTTAGTCCAAAAACAAACAGCAAATAAACTAACAAAAACTCTCACACCGATTCCACAACTTCCTTAAGCTTCATTAAAAGTTCGAATCCTTGAAAGACAGCACACAACTGTTACTACCCGTATACTTAAACCTCTCCCTCTTAAACTGGCTTCAACAAATCTTTTCTCCATCATAACACTAAAGTGGAATTTAAGGTCACCAAGCACTTCAAATGATTAAATTCAGCAGATTCATTTAGTCTTCTGATACCTGACGCTGTCAATCACTGTTTCTTTGTTTCTGGGAAACCATTTTCTCTTGGTGGTTCCCCTATGTCCA